AACACCCTGTGCTTAAAATAAACCAGGAAAAAACTACAACAAACGGGTTGGAAAAACTGTTAAATCAATCAATCAATCATCGATCAAATATTATTTGTATAGCCCATATTCAACTTGTCTCATAACACCTAACAAAGTGGGACATCCTCTGCTCTTAACCCTCAGTAGGAAAAACTTCCAAAAACAAAACCTACTAACAGATGAAACAACGTAGATACCCAGAGAGAGCGACCCGACAGATCCATCTCCCAGGACGGACAGAAGTGCAATAGATGCCACGTGTAACTGAACACATCAACAGAATAACATTGTTTACATCACTGATTAGAAGAGGATGACTGAAGTACAGCTTAGCAGACAGGTGATTGGTCTGGTGACCTCCAGTGACAGAAAAGGCTTGACAGATTCTTGAAAACAACCACCTGAAATGTATCCAATAGATATTTGACATCTATGTTCATCTTTATTTACACTCAATATGTGGTTGCAGCCGTTTAATTTTACCTGAATTCTGTGTGTGTGTTTATTTTCTGTCATTTGCACTGTTTGAATGTGAATGGGTGAACGGCAAAACTGCTTTGAGGGGTCATCAAGACTCGAAAACCATTTATGGACCATTTTGGAAATTCTAAGGAGTACAGTACATTCTGGGTAAGATGTGCGCAGTCCATGTTTGTCCATGTTTGTCCAGGCATGTGGTGAGGTGAGACCATGACTCTCTAAGTACATCAAAACACAGTAAAGTGCACATAATGCACTTGAATTCAATACACAACATCATAGATATGCAAACTGTGCATGTTAGTGAGCACACGACACAACACAACACCCACACTCAATCAGTCAGACATGGAAAGTCACACACACAGAATCTTTCTATCTTTAGCTGAACAAATAGGCGTGTAATTAATGTTCAGATGTTGAAGTCATGAGGTGGAAACACAAACATTTAAACTACCATTAAGTTCTCATCAGGGGCCGAGAGACAGAGGGAGAGAGGGAGGAGGCAGAGGAATGGAGAGTTTGAGAGGCCGTTGCTCACCATTGATCGGTCATTTCAAACGTGATCACAGAGAGTAGCTGAAAATTAGCCATATTTTGCAAAAACAATTGAACAGATCCCCTCTTAAAATAAAAAAACTATAAACTATACAGTACATGCTGAAGCATACTGTAGTTAATACATGAATTTATAAAACCACTTTTCTATTTCATCATAGACATTTCCATGTATTTCCATCCTCAATCCTCTATCTACACCTCCAGGGCTTTAATCAGTCTGGGATTCATCCGTCTGATTGTTTCAATCACCAACACACAGCTCTCTACAGTCTTTACCTCAGGATGCTGCCAGTGTTAGTTTCAATCAGAGGGTGCAGACCAAACCAGAGAGTGATTCCATCCTGATAATTCAACATCTGACATGTGACATGGGGCAATAAGCTTCTATTGATATGTTTCTGTAAAATGAATGGTGTATTTCTGCATATTTGATCACCTCAGTGGGTTCAGATAACTGATTCAGTCCCCTCACATTCTCGTTTGTCCCCTTTCTTGATTTTATTCAACAATCATGACTGTGTGGGAGACTAATTAACATCTCAGCTATAAATGACTGTCTGACTGGCTGACTGGTTAAATAATGACTCCCGGTACTGCGAACTTCAATATCCTTGAGCAAATAGGATGTTATGGATAGCAGAGAATGAGTGTGATAATATATCAGCCTTGTGTTCACTCAGAGTTTACAGTACCCATAATGGTTAAATATTACAGTAAGAGAACATTTCCACTTCATTTCCATGCTACAGTATAAACACACTGGACCATCTATGGGTTATGTTGTTTTCTAGTGGAACGTACAGCAGGACACCATCTCCACTACATCCACACATACACAATCAAAGCCCTTGGTAGTCTTTCAGTAGAGTTCTTACCTCCACCAAGGCCCAACAGTCCCCTAATGAAACCACCTTTAAATTCAGGAGATCCAGACACACACACTCATAAATACCAGTCCCCTAAACAACCACTCATCAAGAGCCATGAATTATTGTCTGTGTTGTGTTGTTGCTAAATGTTGAAAATGGTCCTATCTTGCAATATTTAAAAAAGTGAAAAAGAATCCTGGATCTGCCCCCTGATCCATACCGTGTCCTTTGTTTTCTAAAATGTGACTTCTCGTAAAAAAGAAAAAGAAAAAAGGTGGACAGTTTTATCTTCTCATAGATTATCATTGAAATTAAAGGAACCGTTGTCATTATACACTCTGTGAGAAGTCATCATCACATTGAGATGTCACAACCTAAAAAGTCTAGGAACCACTGATCTAGGAGCCCCACCTTTCTCTTTCTGTCCCATCATACCTTCCTGACTGGCATACATAGCATACAGACGTGGGCCACTTCAGGCAATGGTGCTGCACTTCTGGCCTTCTTGTGGCCCAGACAAAATGGATGTGAGCCGACACAAGCCCACTTGTAAAATAGCAAATGAGGCCCAAATAATCAGTAACCAGACCTGAAAAACAAAATCAGGCCACCTTTGGCACCTTTGGTTGATATGCGGTATTGCTATGGCTTACCCCTGGCACAGATCTGGCAGGACTGGACCTGTATGTGGGCTGGATATCGGCCAAATGTAGGAAACTCATTTGACTTATCTGAAATAACTGAATGACACTTTGAGGATGTTGTTTGTTTCAGGTATAGTGCCTTCATTAGACATGACAGGTGCATTATGGAATGCAATAGGAGAGACTGTGGCCAGGTACTTCCCTCTGGTGAATGAACGTGCACATTTACATGGGGACGCCTAAAACACTTGTGAAGGACCTCCCATGGTTCCCTGATGAGGGGACCACCTCCCTGCAGAGCTGCACCTCCACCCCTTCCCTCCTGTATCTCCACCCTGCGCCGTGCGCTCAAAAAGCCGGAGCGCAAACGCAGCGCAGTGGATGACAGAGATCTGGAAGAGGAGGAGGACGAGGAGAGGGAAGCAAACAGCAGAAACACGTCTCTCTTTCACATCGACACGTGGACACTTAAACATTAACACGCAGCATCAGAGTCGACAGGACGAGTGTAGAGGAGAGGAGCACGAGTAAAAACACGGAGCGCCTGTTCCTTCTGCCGCCTCAGCACCGCAGAGGAGGAAAGATTCCCCCAAACACAGTGAGAGCGTCGGATGAGGAGAAGAGGAGAGCGGAGGGCATCGGATAGGCAACAACAAGGAGTAAGTACACTTATTTATATGTAGGACACGGTGTTGCAGCCAGAGATGGAGAAAGAACTTGTCCTGAAACTTGTAGATAACTTTTAAAACACTATTGTTCCCACTTAAAATTAAAATTATTAATACTATTATCATCACATGTCTCCATACGATAAATATAGCATGTCTTAATGGTCATGCTCATGCAAGACCACTTCTGCAGCCGTCTGCGTGTGTTCTGTCAGAGGCCAGAAAACACTGACCTGATTTTAGGGTCAGGGATCAAGGTTAGGATAAGGCCAAGTAAGGTTAGGATAAGGTTAATAAGACTAGGATAAATTTAGGATAAAGTTACAACAAGGTTAGTGTAAGATGTGAGAATACATTTGTGATAAGGGTAGAGTAGGGTTAGGTAAAGGTTAGGATAAGGTTAGATGAAGGTAAGCATTAGGTTAGGACAAGGTTAGGAGTTAGGACAAGGTTAGGATAAAGTTAGGATATGATATATCCTCTGCCTAAAGGATGCATCACTTTCATTACTACAGTCTGTGATCCTGAACAGACCCCACCTCCAGACCCTCCTTTATTCAGCCTCCTCATCACTGCTTTTTTCTCTCCTTGTCCTCCATTCAACCCCTGTTCAGTCATCTCACGCACACACACAGAAACGCACATATTCATATTCAAGCTGTACCGTGGTGTCTGACAGTTGCTTTTATGTTTGAGGATACATTAATGTGAAATCTTTGAATTAATTCCTTCCATCAGATATAGTGTAGTCTACTCTCACTTCTCATTATAACTGAATAAAGAAATACTGAAGATAGCATTGTTACATAATGCTATTGCAGGATTATCATCAATATACTTTATATTGCAGTATTTTGTCAACAGATTATATGTTGTGTAAGGTTTATCACAGGTTTCTTGTCTCTACCATAATTTTCATCACATCTGAATTGAATAACAGATCCAAAACTGACAGGCGGATTGGAAAGCAAGTCCTGGCATGCAAAAGTTTCATAATTTAATTTCTACAAACTCATTCATGCATAAAAGCTGTTCAAAAAACTTCGGCAACTTCTTCCCCCCTCTCCACATCCCTCTGTCTCAGCAGAATGATCAGTAAACTCTGTCCTTTATATTCACCCCCGTTTTCTTACTTCTCCATCTTTCATACACTGTCACCACATCCACCCCCTACACTACAGATGAACACAACTCTCATGCCCCTCTTCCTCTTTCTTCTTGCTTTCAACATACCTTTTATTCTCAACTACAAGCTGTATCTTTTAAAGCAGACACACACACACACAGCACACACCCAAGCATTGCTGCGTGAGCGAGAGAGAGTGGCCCGAGGACTAAACCCTCATGCTCGATTCAGAGGCCATCTAAAGGACTTGTTGGTGATTTATTTATAAGGACTTCTAAATATGTGGTATGCAGCAGGTTAGCATAGAGAAGGCGGGGAAAGAAGAGTAGGAAAAAATGTTCAATGGTATTTTTTTTCTCCTCCTGACAGTGGCAGCTCCAGACTTATTGGACCCTAAATCTGCCACTCACAACACCAAGCCCCGCCTCTCCTTCTCCACAAAGCCAATCACACTGACTCCCCGGGAGGAGAGTGAGGTGAGAGAAAAACCAAAGAAGCCCTGACTTTAAAAGTAATTTTTTTTACAAGCCACAAATTTCACAGTTTTGGACGGGGATTTTTCAGCATCGTTGATTATTTTAGGATGCCTCCTGTATGGATGCGGGTTGATTGATCAGTTGAATTGTTGTAGGTGGTTTCCACAGTCATGAAATGGAAGACAGTGACAGCCATCTTTCTTTTGGTGGTTCTGTACCTGGTGATGGGAGCAGCCGTCTTCAGATCTCTGGAGCAGCCTCACGAGAGGTAGGCGAGATGAATATGTCTGTTGTCTGTCTGCCTCTCTGCCAGAGGAGACCCCTCCCCTCCACCCACCCATCTGTTCACCACTCATGCTCCTGTTATTGACATTCTCTCTACTAGCTGTAAAAAGCTCACTTATCAGGAATTTCCACTGAAAACTGCAGGGTTTAAGCCCCATGTAAAAAGTGCATTGTGACTTATTCTTTCTTTTATTGTGTAAATATTGAGAATCTTCTCATTATTTATTATCAACCTATTCACTGCAAATTGATTTTTAAATGCAAATGTCTGTGTTTAAAACTGAGACCTCTGTGGGGAAGCTACTGAATTGTGTTTCTCTAACACTCACAACCAAAGGTGATCGCGCCTTTGCAGTAGTCAACCCAAACTTATGGAACAATGTACCACTCCTCATTAGATCTGCCCCCTCTCTTTCACACTTCAAATCACTACTAAAAACATATCTATTCTCCTTGGCCTTCTCTTCGAGTTGAGTACATCCCAGCTGACTTTATTTTATTTTATTATGTATTTTATATTTTACTTTATTTAAATCTTTAATCATTATACTTTCTCTCTTATTCTATTTTTATTCGGATGTATTGCGTGTTACTGTCCTCTTGTTGTACCTTGTACTTGCGAAACACTTTGGTCAACCAAGTTGTTTTAAATGTGTTATATGAATAAATTTGACATTGACATTGTCACTTAATATGGACAAAATATTAGTCTTCAACACTAAATCATTGATCATATAATTTCTACACAAACAAAAAGACATTTCTCTCTGGTAAGAGAGTTGTTTGTGAACATCGATCAGTAATAGGTCTGAACATAGCATGTGGAGTTCCCCAGGGTTCAATAATTGGTCCTCTATAATTCAGTCTTTATACAATCAGATTTTACAACACAGCTATGCCAATGACATCAAACACACTTACTGAATAACACAATTCTGTAGACATGTTAGTTATATACACCAGTGGGTGTGACTAAACATCCTGATTCTACACTTTAGAATATACATATTTTGACAGTTATACTGTTTTGGTATAGATTCAGAGCTTCAGTCTATTCAATTTGAAATGAAATAACTGATACTACATTAAAAAGCCAAATCTCTGCTTTAAAGTGAGTAGGTATAAATTCAAATATAAAAACTGTGTGAGATGTAGGCCTTTAAACACATCGTGCCCAAAGTTTAAGGGTTCAAAACTAACTGGACAGCTAAACATGAAATCAAACCAAATTATCATATTTAATGTTTATTGTCTATGAGTGCATGGAAATCTGACCCACAAACATCAGCAGACTATCTTCCCGCCCAAATACTCACAGTCTGAACTGTATTAAGTACCACTGTGGAGAGATGAGGCCCAAGTACATATTGCTATAATTACACTTCTATAACAAATCATTACACTCTGTTCAGGAAATAGGAATTTAGTTTGACGTCTTGTTACACTCTTTTCAGCCCAGTCAATCTCTTTTTCTCTCCTCTCTCTCTCCCAGTGCCCAGCGTTTGGCCATCCTGACCCAGAAGCTGGAGTTCCTGTCCAGACACTCCTGTGTGAACCAGAGCCAGCTGGAGGAGCTGGTGAAGGTGAGGCCGCCTTTACCTTTTAATGAGAGACTAAAGAGATGTACTGTGGACTTCTCTCACCTCATAGTGTCTCCTTCAACACACAGTGTTGTGACTGAGCTTGCACAGCTGCAGAGGTTTCAGCACCATGGCCAGTTCCCAAAGCTTCACTTTACATGTGTGGAAGTTGTCTCTGCAGTTCTTCTAGTGTTAGTCCTGTTTCCTGCTCTGAACCTCTAACCCTACCTGGGACTCACCTGCAGTGGATTTCAGATTTTTTTCCCTATCAACAGTCGCATGAAGTTTTATATATTAAAATCTTTTATTCATTAGCAAGGCAAGTACACAAACACAAATGTCTGCCTGTGCTACAACAAGAAACATATGTCTCAAAAGCACCTGCTTCAGTGTTTGAGGTTTGAATTATTTACAGCAACAAGAAAGTAATGCAATATTTGTTTCTTTAAACAGAAAGAAGGTCACAGCGGTTTTGAACACTAATGTCTCTCTCTCTCTCTCTCTCTCT